CTGAGCAGCACACAGATGAGCTTGAAGACTTCTGACTGCGAGAGGGACATCATCTGGGGGGTAGGGGTGCCTCTCTCCACTTTTCACCACATCGTCCATCAGGTTTTTGCAGGGCTGACCCAATCGACGGCTGCCATGTTACAAAAAAAGTTTAAAAAGTCGCAGAAAATAATGACTTTACTAAAACTGTTTTCATAACCCTTAAATAAGAACAGCTAAAATGTGATTCTACTTGCCATCTAACTGTAACGGTGGTCGGGTAGACCCTCCTCCAGGGCAGACACCTCGGCAGACAGCTGGTCCCTACATGTAGAAAAAAGAAGACAAAAATATTTATTTTTATTCAGTCATCTATCTTTTTTTCATTATGCGGGACAGCAGGTCATCAAACTGGGCTGGGGTGAGACGATGGTAGCGCTGGAAGCGATCCTGGTCGGCTCGGAGTTCCTGGAGTAGATGGTGAAACTCTCCACAAACTGAGAGCCTCTGAATTAATTGGTGAATCCAGATATGGCGACGACGCTCCCGACGACGTTCTCTACCTTTATTTATTAAAATAAGCCAGGTGACTCTCTCAATTTCATCCGCCATTGTTCCAGTCAAAGACAGGATAGGGTAGCGCCGCCCAACGCGCGTCAGAACTTTTGCACCGCGCAGCCAGAGCAGCAAAGCTGCCTCAGCCGTGCGTCAGAACTCACTGGTACAAGCAGCAAAAATGAAGCAGCAGACGCGATTTTGCTGCTCCTGCTGCGTTGGGCGGAGCTACTCCATCCTTTTTTTGCCTTGCAGCTATATTTGCTGTGATCATTGGGAATAAAGTAGTTTTAATATGTTTTTAAGTGGGAAAATCCACCTGAAAACCTAATCAGTGCAATCAGTTCATCCAGATTACCATCCTGCCTTCCAATAATATTTCTGTCGGAGCCGATCAGACCCCCACATACCGGCGGTGCGCTGTCAGTAGGAATCACTTTCAACAGCAGCCTCTGGCCCTGTCGCCTCCTCGCGGTTTGCCGCGGCGGCTGGAAGCGTTTTTTATGTACGTAATCCAAACTGCAGGCAGCAGCGACCATGTTCTGCCGGCAGATTTCAGCATTTTAAGTTCATTTAGGCGTTAATAAACTGTTTCAGAGGAGTGATTATAGCGCTCTGTCTCATCAGCGATGTGTCTGTCTCGCTGCCAGCTCCCAGATCAGCGTCTCTGATTGGTTGATGCGGCGCATCGGGCATCAAAAATTTTATTTTTCCATCTCGAGCAGCTGCGCCTGGTGCTGAAAACGCGCTGCGGGACCTTTTGATGCGCNGCCAGGGGGGGATTCTGCATGAGCCAAATAGCAGAGACAGGACCAATCGTCAAAATTTTGGTGTCGATCATTCGATTTCATCCTGGACACTACAGAAAATGGGCTAAAAGTGTTAAAAACCTGAATTTTCCTTTAAGCACTAACTGTTAAAGTAAAAGTACTCGCATACTTTTGTAATGTTGTAAAAAACAAATATAGAGCTGTGTGTCATCAGCATATAGATGCTATAAGATGTTCAGGGCAACAACTTAGTCTGGGAAAAGTCTGCAAAGAGACTCCACAATCCATTATGTTATTCTGGTTAGACGTTTTCATTAGAAGTTTTTATTTTTTATTTTCAGTGACTAGATGTTCTTACATGATGTTTTAGACGCCAAAAAAAGCGTTGCTACTTTTGCAATTTGAAAGTTTGCAACCAGAACAAAAGCATCATGATATGGGCTCTAAAGCGTCTGAAGTAAAAATAAATTTTATTAATATTTTTGTACCCATTACTATATCATAGAAAACCAAGTCATACAAATAATAATTTTACTTTATGACACTAATAATATAAAGTATGATATTTGAATCCGTTTAACAGGGCACATAAAAGTCCACTCCGACTGTTTCTAGTCTATTAACCAGTAGTAACTACAGTGTGGAAAGGATTATTCAAGGCTTTAGATGCAATATCTGCACACCTGTACTATTTCTATAATCTTTCAGTTTCAGAAGATTATAAGAAGCTCTGATTAATTGGAAGCCATGAAGGATGGACAATAAAACCATTTGTATCAATTCATCCTTGCTTTATTTGAGCTTTAATTAAAGCTGAAAAGTTGTATAAAAAATGCCTTGTTTCTCTTCATTTTTGCAGACTCGCTGAGTCTCGCACTAACCCCCAGGTCCTGGACATTGGGGTAAATCCTCAGGACTTGAACAACGAAGAGTGCCTCTCCCCGGGCAAATGGGACCAAGACGAGACAGACTCAGCTGCACAAAAAGACACATTTGAGTTCTAACCTGAAGCCTCTGCCAAGAAGAAGAAGGGAAAACCAGGAAAAAAAACAAAAAAAACAAACCACCTTCTCTCTGCTGCCTGGTTCACTAACCGTCAGTCCTGTGGAACTCTGATGCTTCTAAATCCACGCAAGAAGAGAACAACACGAGCCGACGGCTCCCACAACAGGCCAAAGCAATAAAACCCTCTTCACCCCTTTTTAGTTTTTTATAAATAAAAAAAAAAACATGCAGCCCACCCCATGTTTTCTTCCAGCCTGATCTTATGTTCTGTGTTTACCCGTTCACGCTCACTCATATGTATTTTTACACTGTGATACAGAAAGTGTGCAAGAGCTATTGGTGACGTCAACAAGTGCTTCTAATCAGCTGGGATGCTAACACACCAGTCCCCTCTGGGTTTAGCAGTGAAGTAACTACCTATGTGTGTCACAGCTCCAGCTTTTATGTTGGGCCTAAAGCTTTAAAAAAGAAAGTGTTTGTGTCTGAGCAAAGTTGACAATCCTACTTTTTTCTATTGCAAAACCTATTTTTGCACTCAGCGTTCATTCATCATTAAAAGCACAGAATTCATGGAAAACTCATTTGTGCTTTTACACTAATCACATGTGGTCCTGAAACTGCAGAGAAGTTTTAACAAATCTGAATCGTAGAGCTAATGTGTTGTTCGACTGATAGGATGATGATGTCATACCATCTATTAATAATTAAAATGTATAACCTGAAAACCTCAACAGGAAAAAGGAGCTAGCTGTCAGTTTCTTTAACTGATTTAATCTCTTAGATTCAGACTTGTTAAATGAGTCGTTAAGTAAGCAGATGAGGAGCTTTTATTGGCACTCGCACACTCTCTGTCTAAATATGTTACAGTGGCATTCAAAGTTTACTGAGTTAAATTTTTTCCCCCACAGGGACTGTTCCCAGTGTTATTTTTGGTGTTTGTTTTTACATTAATTTAAACTTACATTTTAATAAAATATAATTATCCTACTCTCTGTCTAGGTGTTTTTCTTCTTCCAAGTCTCTCTCTCCCTCCCTCTCCCCCTCCCTCTCTCTCTCTCTCTCTCCCTCCCTCT